AGTGCTAGTTATGAAGCATAAACCACTGAGCAAAGACTATTGGAGACTGAGACTCATGAAGGCATCTTCGATTTAACCAGTTCCTGTGATCATTTCATACCTATTTTGTACCTAGTGTGATTGAGGAGAGTTAAGGTTTTATTGAAATGGCCACTAATGTGAGACCTTATTGTCTTCATTCAGCACCCTGATTGTGGGAGCTTTTAAACTCCCCTTGGTGAAGAGGAAGCCATGAGCAACTAAGCAAGCTTGATAAGAGCCTGTTCAGTGCCTTGCTAATCAGTGAAAGGCATAGCCTCCGCCTTCAAGATGCAAAGCTGGTGCTGGTTTAGTAATCTTTACCCTTTAATTAAATTGGGGCATTTGAGGCATGTGTGTGGTTCTGGGAACATACTTTTTGATACCAGTGTGCTGTGCTTCATGTAGAGCTTCCATTTCAAGGAAGTTCATGTGAGAGACACTCTGTCTGCCATCTTTTGATTTTCTAGAACTTGAAGAGGCATTGACTAAATCAGGCTTCCTGTGGTGCTGAGGTGGATTTGAGCAGTATCAGCCATGAAATGACAGTGTGGGACAGTTCTTAAAGAGAAAATCAGCCTCAGATTCAAGAATGATAGGAAACTGGTCACAGCCATCATATTATCATCATTTAAAAAAAAAGCCCTAAACAAAAGATTCCCCACAAGAAAAAAAAAGACACAATTTTGTTTTTCAGTGAAGTAAAAACAGAACTGGGTGGGCCAGGGATATAGCTCAGTGGTTACAGTGCCTCCCTCACAAGTACAAGGTCCTGAGTTCAATCCCCGGTACCAACAAACAAACAAACATAAACAAAAAACAGAACTGGGTGTTTGAAACCAAAGTACTAACATTATTAATAACTTATTCATTATTATTTTCAGACACATTTCAGTTGCCTGGACACTTTCTCCAGTAGACAAAGAGAAGTCCCCATCTTTTCTTAAAAACAAAAGTAACTGTGAGCATGGGTTACATATCAGACACAAAAATGCTACTCACCATCCTTATACAGGGCTTTCGTAAGGCCTCTATGCATTTTAAGCTATGAATACTAATAATGAGAACAGAGGATTGTGTATGTATACCATTCCAAAGGCTTGTGTTATCATAGAATATCTGGTATTTGACTTGGAAGAGAGTCTTTTAGAAAAAAAATTTGACTATTCTTTAAAATGTGATTATATGTACATGCATTTCATAAAGATTTTGTTCAATTGGACAAAACTAGACCTTCCTGTTTATTTTGATTTTGACTTTGAATTGAAATGATACTTGAACATTTATTTCCTTTGTAAAAAAAAAAACGCTTTAGTTCTTTGAAACTTTAAAATATTTAATGCAGTGTATGGCACATAATAAGTGCTATATAAATCACATCAGTTGTTATATTTGCATTATGATTTGTACAAGATAACCTTACATCAATAGATTTGTAATGAGAAATATTCTTGAAACTTCTCCCAACAGAACATATTTCTATCTCTTTTTTTCCTTGAGACATTGATATCTATGTGAAATATATACTTTTAGTGCACTGACATGAAATGCACTCTGTTCAAAAATAATGTACTGCAACTATCTGAAGTAAAATTGTCATCTGCAAAATATTCTGAAGTCTAACCAAGGCTCCTATTCAACACAAACTGTACCTAGGCTTGGGGACACAAGAGAGTTCTTTTCTCAATATCTGGTGAAAGGACATGTGGCTCATCATCAAAGCCAAGGAAGAAACATGGTCGGACACCACCCAACCCATTTTTGAAAAAATAGATGGCTTCAAGTAAAAAAAATTATTTTTGGGAGCTGATGTGGGTAAATTCTTGAAGTAACTTCTTAGGGATAAGAGTGAATGAGTCATTTGAAAATATAGGTGAGAGACAGAGAGGCTGTGAGTCCAGTGAGAGCAAATGGATCTGAAGACAGGGATGGGCCTGAGGGGTGGGGCCATGGTCCTGAACTGGGCACGGCTGCCAGGATCACCTGGAAGCCCCTTCCAACTGAGATCTCTTGTCCTGGCACTAGAGGCTATGTCTGGGTGGAGCCTGAAATGAGCTTTTTTACAAGTTCTCAGGAGATCCAGTTGCTGCTGATTTGGGGAGAACACGCTGAGTGTTTTTGTGCCAGAGAGGAACTGAAAAGGAAAAGGGGTGGCTGGTGCCCTCCAAGCCCGGGGCAGGTAGAGAAAGAAGGCTGGAGAAGGAAGCAGGAGTCTAGCAACTGAAGCCTTGAGAGGAGATGCGCATTCAGTCCCAGACTGATGAGAAGCCGGTGAATGTTCTGCTGCTCCACAGTGAAAGGTTCTTGGATGGCTATGAAATAGGAAGTTGTCCTGGATCATCTGGTTCCACACAGTGTTTACTCCTTAGTGCACATAAAGATCAAACTCAGAGAAATTCAGAAATAACCTATAATCTCCTCTGTATTTTATTTCTGACCATGCTTTGACAAGTGAGCAAGATTTACTTCTTATTTGGCCAAGCAAAACCGTGCTCCCACACTCGGGGTTGGACACCACTACCCCAAACCATTTTGCAAAATGCACGAGACAAAAAGCAAATCAGGGACAAATACAACTCAAATTAGGTCAAATTTACTGAAACACTTTCTCTGATCTACACCACAGATTGAGTGCAGAAAAGACCTAGCATGTTACATGATTTCTTCCGGCAAGTAGCATTTGATCTTTGGGTGATAAATAGTAAAAACTTGAAACAATTAGAAAATTACATAAGCAGAGGATGGTACAGTGTGTGATAAAGTGCTAAGTTCAATGTTATCATTTGGAAAGTTTAATGCATATATTAAGTTCCGTGGCCACTAAGATAAGGGAGAATTATTTAGTTACCAGAAAGTATTTCATCTGAGTGAAGCATTCAGGCTGGTCTTTTGGAAATGGTTAAAATGTGGAGTTAGAGGAGAGGAAAAGGGCACGGAAAAGGTTTTGTCTTCAGATTCAATCAACATGCAAAGAATTATTGTTTTTTCCCCAAGTTTTTCCTCTTCTGCTGCTTTTCAGGGGAAAGCTTTCCACGCATTTCTGATTCTTGAATACAGTTGAATTACTAGTCCATTGTCTGGTGAGAGGTATTTGGTCAGGAAGCCCTGTGGACTTCTCAAAAGCTTTTATCCTTTGAAAGAAGCTGTCCTGATTTGCCATTTTTAATGAAACTTGTATGACACAATGCTGAAGTTTAGGACCCACTGAGAACGTGACCGTGTATTTCCTTTCATCTCTACATGGGGGAACCAGATGGCAAATAGGAGCTGCAGAAGCACAGCAGCCGTGCTGTCCCCCAGTGTCAGTAATGGCCGTGAACGTTCTTACATCCTATCCGTGTGGCTTTGTCTTATGAGTGTTAGCTTTACTGCTTCCGTCTTTCATCAATAAACACAGAATGTCTTACTGTCCAGAAGGTGAACCCTTTGTAGTCCTGTAGCTCTTTTGACCCTGAATCCTTCGGATGCTGCATGCTTGCATTTCATATTCTGTGCCTGGGTGAGGCATAGCTTGTAAATTGCAATATATGCGGTGATTGTTATGTGTGTTTTTTTTTAATTAACCCAAGTGCTTTTGTGCATTAGTTCCTGACACATTCGACGAGGCAAAGACCTCTTGTCTTTTGCTGAGGCTTTTTGGGAAATCCATGGAGTTATCCTGAATATTAAGATATTTTATGTTAGCTCAGACATTCCAAAAGGTATGGGTTTATTTGGAAGCCCAAGATTAAGGCAGAAATATGAAATAAAAAAAGAGAATGGTTTAAGAGAAGTGCCAGGATGACTTACAGAGAGATTTTAATGACAATCTGTAAGGTACAGATAGCCAAACACTTTTTTGACTTTTCTACTCTTAGTAAAAGATTCTGAGAATGCTTCCAAATTAGGTGCACTTTTTTCTTATAAATTATGTACATGTACCATCATTCTTATGTATTATTACCATACGACACACAAAAATAAAAATAACAAAGAAGGTGATAAAAAGTAGCAACTATCTAATATTTTCTTCCTGTTTGGAATCCTGTTTGGAATTCCTGTTTGGAATAAATAGGCTTCATTTAAGAGGATTCACTTCTAAAATACCTGAAAAGCAGTATGGTATAGTGAAATGGTTGTCAAACTTCAGGTACATCAGAATTTTCTGCAAACTTATGAAACAGACTTCTGTCTTTTCCCAAAATTTCTAATTTATGTCAGGAATGGGAGCAAAGCTTTGTATTCTGACAAATTTTCATTTTTTGCTGGTCTAAGGACTACACTTTGAGAACCACTGGTGTAGGTAAAAGCAGATTCTTAAAGTTAGTCTCCCGAAGGTGGACATGAGCATTCTTGACAAAATGTTTTACCTCTCTGAGCTCAGGTTTTTAAATCTATTAAGTGAAGGAAATCAAAATTACTTCCCCCTTAGAGTTTCTGGACAGCTGAATGAGGTAATACAGATAAATTGCTTAGTATTCAGTACTTACCACCCGCAAAATAGCAGCACAATTTGAGTGCTTTCTCTTGCTCTTCCTCCCCTTATCGTTGTCAAAAAACATCTTTTTCATGTCACAAATTAGTATTAGGAACATTTAGCTTCAGGATTCAGCATTTTGCCTTATTTCATTACATCATGAGAATGCATTTTTTTCTACTTGAGCATTATACATGAGGAAAAAAACATGCTCCTGGTGAGATTATCTGTCTAGCTGAGTAGTTGAGATGAAGCTCTTCTGCAAAGTCCACCTAAACAGGAACAGTGTGTTCAGCCCTCTCCCTTTTGTGTGTAATTTTTGACCGTTTGTGGCTGTGTACATTTCTGTCATCTGTTGTGTATACTCAGTTCTCATTGCATGTGATCAAGTTGACACGTTTGGTGGTTGTGTTTTTGAATGTTTGGAGGCATGAGAACGGTAAATGCAGGTGATTTCTTTGAATTTGACTACATTTTAATGTTTCCCCTGTCCTTCTCTTTTCTCTTTCTTCTTGTGAATTACTAGGACCCAGTACCACCTGCCAAGAAGACTCTTGTGGCAACCAGGGAGTCTGCATGCAACAGTGGGAAGGATTCACCTGTGACTGCTCCATGACGTCTTATTCTGGAAACCAGTGCAATGATCGTGAGTACAATCTTTCCATACTGGGCTTTTTGTCAAGAGGTTTAGAGAAACTTTAAGGGGCCATATGTAAAAAGATGGCCTTTTTAAGAGATTGATAAATAATTCTGTCCTCCAGAAATTTGGAAAATAAGTGACTAGTGTTCTTACAGGAAAAGCACAAATACATCTTTTGTTCAATAATATTAAATATTCTCCCATTTTCTTACCCTCCATGATTATCTTTAAATTAGAATACCTGTGCCTGAAAAACAACTAAACAATTTAGGTCACACTGCCTAAATGGACTGTATCTATTTGGCTTATGCATGCATAGTTATTCTGTTTGTATATACACCTGTATTTTGTGAGTATCTCACATGCAAAAATCTGGAAATTTGGCTTCTAGTGGAAGACAGCTTGTGGTTATCATTTCTGCTGACTTAGAGGACTGATTTCATATAAATTATTTTAATACCAGTGGTAGAGAGATGACAATGTTAAAAGCATCTATAATTTGTGTCTCCACCTTTTTTCTCATGGTATTTTTCTAACACGGCCATTTTAAAGACAAGCGAACAACTGAGATTTGCTGAAAAGTCTTGACTTTGTGCTAGTTGCTGATTTGCTAAATGCAACCATCAAGGTAGAAATTTGTTTTAAAATATAAACGTATTTGCATATTATAGTTTGACCACATACAAGCAGGTATCCATTACAATGCTATGTTCTCTTGCCTATTTGGTTTTTATTGAAAACCTTATTTCCCAGCTATTTTTCATATGTGTGGGTACCTCTTTAGTTCCCATTTTCATATTTCAAAATAGCATTTTGTTCCATATGCTGTGTCATTCTTTTAAGATACATTAAGGGGAAATGGTGAATATAACAATCTAGAGAGAAAATGATGTGATACCCTTTCATCTAAATATAAGTATATGTCTCTCTCTGTCATGCAAATGTTACAATGTCTGCAAAGGGTTTGGAATCAGATTGCTTATGTCAAGTATTTTATTGTTATTGAAAATCCTCTTTCCATATTTATGACTTGGAAACACTGTTGTATTCGGAAACAGGCAGTTATGTTATGGTCCAATCCGGGGCACCTGGGGAATTGTGCTGTATGCTATTTCTTTTCCCTTAAACTTGTCTGCATAGCACTCACTAGGAAGGCATTTTTCTCTCTAACTGGTGGCATAATGCTTCTTTATCCTCACAAGTTTATTCCTTATCACACATGCATCTCATTGTAAGTATAAAATGGTCAGGAAGAGATTCTGTACACCAAAAAGACAGAAAGGTAAGTTTCTCTTACTGCAGTGAATGTGCATGATCTTTACAAGGTATGTATGTATTTTCTTGACATTGACAAGTTCCTTTCTGTCACTCAGGGCCAGGTGTTTTCTGGTAATGCTCAACCATGATTCTTTCCAGTCTTCCACAGTTGTTTTTGTTATTTTGTCAAGAGCGGATTGTGTAAGTCGGGGATGTGAACTATCACACTTGAGCAATTTGCTAGTGTATAATGAACTAAAGCTTGGTTTCAGAAAATGTCACCCCCCAGATGGGAATAAGTTCTCATGCCTCAGAACCATTTCTATGAAATCCAGGCTTAGGGTAATGTACTTTGGATTTTGTTCCGTAAACACTATAGTTGAGATTTTATTTTAGAAGACCTAGCAACAAAAATTGCTGATAGAGCCTGCTTTCCTGGTCCTCTCCTGGAGGGTGTACCTATTGGATAACAACACAGGAAGGATACAAGTCCATTTTAATTGCAGGATGTGACAAATGCATAGAAATAAAAATACAGGATGTGATTATAATATTCACATATAATTTTTTTTTTTTTGTACCAGGGATTGAACTCGGGTCCTTACGCTTGCGAAGCAGGCGGCTGATCCACTGAGCTAAATCCCTGACCCCTGATATAAAGTTTTAATGAAACCCAGCCAGATAGATTAAAATAACAGGTTACTTAAAATTGTTACAATGCATGAACCTGTATCCAAACATTAGCATCTAAGGCATTTGGGAGATCTTTTTTGAAACTAGCATCAGTCAGTTTGTCTCACCTAGCAAATCAGCCTCACTGCTTTACATCACAGACCATTATTTTTTATATTGACAATGACTCTTAGATTTGTAATCTATTTCATTTTACAGACATTTTAAAAGCAAAGTTACCTATATGATGATAGTCTTATGCTTTTACCTCCGTTAATAAATTCTTGGGAGCTTTGTCTATACAAGAAGCTGAGTGTTAATTTTTTGTGTCACTAGCATATGCTTAGCCTGTATTTAGTTGAAACAACACGAATATGACTCCATATTATAAGTGCCTTCAGTGGCATGTATCATTTATCAAATTCTTGGAACAAAAACATTCTGTAGAGGGCCGGGGATTTAGCTCAGTGGTTTGGTGGCCTGCCTTGCAAGCGCAAGGACCTGCAAGGACCCGAGTTCAATCCCCGGTACCAAAAAAAAAAAAAAATTCTGTAGAAAGCTGTATATATCTAAGTTTATTTTTCTTAAGATAAAAACCCCAACAAAAAAAAAAAAAAAATTCTGTAGAGAGCTGTATATATCTAAGTTTATTTTTCTTAAGATATTTTCATAAGACTGTGTAAATTGGTTAGAGATGAAATCTAATGGCAAAAGGTGTTTTGGAATGGGGGCAGAATTTTGAATCTCTTTTTTTCTATGATCTGTTTCTCGGAGAAACAGCCTGATACTCAGCTAATGCAAGTGGAAACCTGGCAATTTATTACTGCACATACAAAAATAGAAACCTCTTCAACAGGGAAATGGCGAGGTTTTGTATTTTTCAAAATATGTCTTTAATCTGTTGTGTGTAAAAAAGTTCATTGTATTTGGCCATGACTGGTAAGCTTCAAAAGAAGTATGTGTAGTTTAGGATCTTCTTCACTTCTTCTAGCACTGTTTCTGTCACTCATGACTTTCGATTGTTTTCCTTGCCTTTTACCAAGTATGTTGCTTGATTGACGGTTCTAAGGTGCTGTTTCATAGGTGTTGTCCCCAGGAGTTCAGTGTCCATTTAAAAAGTTCGTCTTGTTAAACATGAGTTGACCAAAGTTGGGCAGTTTTCCCTTTACTCCGTCAGTTTTGCATGAGCACTGTGGCCAAATGGGTGCAGTGGGGTGCATTTCTGGCTCACGCTGAAGAAGATATGATTGCGAAGGTGTGGCACATATTGGGTGACGGTTGCCTTGTGTAAAAGTGAATCTCTTACACAGGATTAAACTTTGAAAAAATGATTTGACTAGAAAGTAGGTACATTTGATTTCTAAATAGTTTAAATAGGACTTCTCACGATTTTCTATAGGATAAGAGTGTGGAGAATGTTATGCAGGAGCAATTTTGAGTTAATGTAGGATCCAATGAGATCTATGGAAGGACACAGAGGTGATCTTCTTCAGAGAGAAGCTTTGGTTCTTCAGTAGGTCAAAAGAAATGAGGTTGACTTCCCAGTGGATGATTTCTACCTGAGAGCCAATGCACATACTTTGTATTTTGGTTATATGTTTATGCCTTGCTTGAGAACACCAGAAAAATTAAACCTTACAAAGGTTCCTGTATGGTCATTGTTTTTGAATATTGGATTCTGAATGGTATTTTAAAGCAGACTGAGAAGCGGGAAATTCAAGCTATTCAAAGCTGTTACACCTTCAGACAAATCCAGAGTCACGGTGTCACTCCCCTTGGAGCCCTGGCTTAAGTTCCATTCTCCTTCTTGGTATTGAAAAAATTCACCGAATTCATCTCTCCTGCGCGCACACACACACACACACACACACACACACACACATGCTCACCCAGACAGACATATATGAAAGGGTTGTCATCTTTAGGGGCTTCATGAAAATAGTCCTTTTAAACATTTCACGTCTGTCCTTAACGACACTATTTCCTCCTTTTCTCTTCATGCAATTGGTTAGAGTGGCTAACAGTTTGGAGATTTCCCACTCCTGGGAAAGCAGATGTGGGACATCCCATGGCACATGAGTTCTTAATGCATATCAAGTGCCTGGGTTTAGGATTCAAGTGTTTACACTGGCTTTGTGGGATAAGGAGGGTAGAATGAATGTGGGTCCTCAACCCACTCTCACCAGATATCTGTCCTGTGCTACATTTCTGGCTGTACCCTGCAGGCTACTTGTTGGAGAAATTGTTAGGTTCACACTGGCATGTGATAATAGGTGTTCTTTGCTTGCAGCAAATCAATAGTGAGCAGCTGTGGATCGTGCAGATAGTGGGGTGAGAAGCGCCTTTTCAGACACTTTTCTGCTGGAGTGGCTGTTAAGCTGCACTGTTAGCTATTGATTGGCCTTTTGGTTTTTATTTATTGTGTGGGTTTATTTATTTTGTAATGTAGGTTGGTGTATTGATTAAATCTGTTAAAAAAACATTTCCTAATTCAGGCTTCAGAAAAAAATAAGCAATATATGTGTTACTTAGTGTACAACCAAGGGGACAGCTGTGCATATACTAACTCTGTCTCTAGGTTCCAAATATGCACAAAGCCATTTCATGCTTTAGTTATATGTTTATACCTTGCTTCTGTTTTCAGGTTCTGTCTTTCCAGCAAACAGACCCTGTTTTAGTGTACTTTCCAGATATTTTGCTGGTTAGGTCTTGGTGTATTTTTATTCACTCATGAGACATTTCTTATTTGCAGAGATGATCATGAATAAGATAAGGTCTGTTCTCAGAAACATTTGAGTCTAATGGGAGAAGACACATATGAAGGTGTTTCAGTAGAAATATGAATGCCATACAGTAAGAAGTCATAAAGTGGAGTAATGGCCACTGTCCCTGGGGTTTAAATGCCATGAAAAAGCTTAGTCGCTCTTAGCAGAGATTCTTTTGAAGAATGGTGAGCCTTGACGATTGTATAACTACCTCCCAAGAAAAAAGTGCTATAAAGAGGGTGGAGAAGGAAAGATGGCCTTCCAGAAAGCAAGCAGAGGAAAGGATGTTCCAGCCACAGTTACCATTCTGAT